TTAAAATAAAAAACAATATTTAAAAATTTCCGTAACCATGACGTGTGAGCATAGCCAGATAGCCTTGCCTAACTTGCACAAAGAAGGCATCATTCATGAAATGTGCTCCACAGCTAGGGTGGATTCTTCTTTTTTTTTTTTTTTTTCTAATTTTGGGGTGGAATTCGAATACCATATATCAAATTTTACATAAAATATTTTTTATAAGGGAAAAGTGACCACTACTAAATCATGAATATGTTTTACAGGATGGACTCTAATTGTTTTTTTTTTTTTTTAAATAATTTTGTAAAAGATTAGATTTGAATCATTGTCTAAAAAAAATGAAAATACATTTATACGAACTTGATATCACTGGATGAAAAGTTTAAGTTCTAGGATGTACTCTAATTGAGGAGACTGACATGTGAAGGATGCATTTTGGCAGCTAGTTCACAGATGGCAAAAATGATAAGGTGCAAGGTGTATGGGTACTCTTATTTATCTCAGTCACGTGGCCCATTTGAGGAACAAGAAAACAAGGTGATATTTCATAGAATTAGAGACGGATGCAGACAGATTAGTGGTGATCATACACTATACCTAAATCCATGCTACAGGCGCCGTGACACTGTCAGGGCCCATATAGAATTTATCCTATGAAGTTGTGTTTAAGTCTTATTAATTCTTTTTTATTCCTTTTTTTTTTTGTCTCTTTAGTTGTGACAAATTATTTATATTAAAAAAGATTTTTTAGTATGTGACTTTTTAATTAAATATAATATTTACAATTGGACCTTGTGGCTTAACAATTATAAATTGAGTTGTAAAGTGCATTTTCATCCCAAAAGTTGAAATTTGAATCCCTTCACCCCTAAATATAAATCCATTAAAAATAATATTTATAATTAATTTTATATAAAATTTAATTAAAATAAAATATAAAATTAAAATAAATATAATATTTGAATTCAAAATATGTAAAAAAATATAAATTTAGTATGACAATTTATGTAAAATTAATTATAAATATATAATTAATAAGGTTTAACTTCTGCTATCATAGCATAAATTAGACAAACCCAAAAAACTATAGACTATATCTTTTCTGTGGATAAAAATTTCACTTAATGGTTGTGGGTTTCCTTTATATAATTGAAAATGCAATCCTGCTTTGAGTACTAGACTAACAGGGGTATAAGAGAGGATTTACTTTGTTGTGTTAAATAAGTATGAGTTTGTCTAAGTTATACGATAAGGATATACGTTAAATGTGTAATAAATATATATTTTTAATAAATTTGTATTAAAAAATAAAAGTTAATTTTTAATTTATTAATTATCTAATTAAATTCATTCACTTTGGATCAATATTAAAATTAATGTTAGTTTTTATATTTTTTTTATATATTTATGATAAAAAATAATCTTA